CTCTCTCTCTCTCTCTCTCTCTCTCTCTCTCTCTCGACTAGACGCCCGATCAACTCGGCAGTCTCGAAACGACTGACTTGACTGTCTCCCCGCGGGAGCGGAGCGGTCGGCCGATCGTCGAAATCCGGGCGCACGTAATGGCACGTAGAGGCTGGTCGGTCATATTTCGCGGCGCCGCAACGCCGCGCCGGTACACACGTGCTCTCGCCGCCATCTCTTCCCGGAGGAGGAGGGGGAGGAGGGGAGGGGGGGGGACGGAGGAGCCCTTGAGCGCGAATCGCAAAACGCAGCCGGGGGACGCGCGGATCGAACCGAGCGGATTTGCTCTCGGCCGTATTTCGAACCGTAAGGGTTGCGAAGCATCCCTCCGGCTGCCGCGACTCTTATCGCGGTCTCTCGGTGCCGGGCATGGGATTTCCGCGTGGGACGTTCGCGACTGATCGTCGCCGACGTACTCGCGCCGCCGGACGAGGGATGGGGGAGGGAGAGGGGGAGGAGGAGGACCGCGCGAGGGAACGCGTCGTTGCGGAAATGTCGAGTTCGCGTCGCCAGACAGATAGACCGCTCGTCACACGCGTCTGTAAATGGAATATCTACATCCGGGGATTGAAACCGTCTCCTCTACGTGCGACAGAGGAGAGGAAGGTGTGGCTTTTTTTTCTCCTTTTTGCGCACCCTTTTACCACTCATTGAACTGTACGTTGTACGTAACCGCTTTATTCTAATCCCTAGGTAGAATGAAGTAGAAAATCATGCCTTCTCGAGAATAAAATAGTAGGACAACTATATGCGTACAAGGAGGAAAAAAAACTTGGTCAAAATTTATTTGTAATTGTAATACGTAATATCTTCATATCTTGAAATAGATATCCTTGAATATACAATAACACGATGCAATCTAAAGTACACAGTGTACACTTGTAGTTGTTATCCAAATAATTATATTATTCTGTTGCACATTACTGCAAGGTTATTGCAATAGGCAGCACTTCCAGCCATTACGTTAAGCTTCGCAAATGAAATTTCCATGGCGACGTTGAAAACGCGAGGAATTGATTAAACAATAAAAGCTTTAATCAGTCGTCCAGTGAGTGTAAGTATGATGTAGTTTTATTAACAGCGCATTCGATTAATTCTGTGGTGCGTTAAAGGCAACACCCTTGTACGACTTAATCGATTGAAACGGCTTTGATGGGGCTTCTAAAAGGACGGGCCCAACAGTTTGCACGCTATAAACACAATGAAACGAGTTCACGTTGTTATTGCGTGTTGTTTTATGCCACGTAGTTCGTCGTGTGGCTCGCCATGGCCGTGCTCGACATGTGCTCGATACAGGATCCCCAAACGAGCCATAAGTGCAACGATGGGGGTCGTTCTCCGCGTGATGGTGGGGTGAAACATCTGCCAAAGGTTCACGAAGGGTAAGGGCGTTTTGAGCCCTAATCTTAACTGAAACTTCTATGATTCACGAAACCCACCGTGGTTCTATTTCGAAATTTTCTTCAACAGACACTTCAACGTATTCTATTCGAACAGAAGAATTCGTGGAAAAAGCCTTCTTAGTATCTTCGTTCACGAATCGTAGTGCGAATAATTTATCTTTCCAAAAAATTCTTCCGTACTTATTGTGAAAAATGATGGTTGATTTTCTTATTTGTGACTAAGAAAAGCGTTCTCATCTTCCTCGTTATACTCCTTTTGTGACAGTGGTTTTAATTACCCAAGTCTGCGAGCTTTCGACGAATATTCGTAGCATTACGCATAAAGGAACAGTTCGCAACTCGGGAGACGTCACCGGAGACGTGAATTGCTCTAGTTAACACAAGAAAAGATGACAAAACTTTTCTGTAAACTTAGGTATCAGCGGAATTCGAGGAAATTCAAGATAGATATTTACGAGCGTCATCTCTTCTAAAGCATGCTTATTAAACACCGCACCTCTTGGCATTAAATTGCCATCAAATTGTTACTGCATTTTCTGCATTATCTTGAATTATCCAATCGTATTATGTGACAAGTTCATGCGATATGGCGTAATATTTTATGACGCGTAATATTTTATGGAAAAAAAAAAATAACGACCCTTATCGTTTTTGCCGTGCTGACAAGAGCAATTCAGAGCGCTCCAAATATTTCACTGAATTCATGAATAATTGTTCCTTGATGCTCAGCCCGCGATTCATGACTGTTTGATTACACATTAAATGCCCCAATAAATCGCCATACGCGTATCTCGTTTTCAAAAGGAAACGTAGTGATTATTTGCGATTGCGGTAACGAAGATAAAATCGTAATTACCCTCTGCGACGAGAGAGAGCAACCCTTTGCTATCTAACCCTTTGATACGTACACGAGTTTAATTTAAATATAATTAATTAGATATTCAATCGCGCATTTTGCATATTCATAAATTTTTCGTTTCTCCAGTTCCACGGTCTACCAATATTATTTATCGGAAATTTATAATTAATCCAAGAGTCTTGGACACATGCCGCACTCTTAATGAGACGTCCGTTCGCAAGGGGCACAAACACGATTATTGTCCACGTGTATAAATTGGCACGACGGGTCAGCGGTGTTAATGAGTTAATTTCACGAAACGAACGTCACGCCATTTTTACAGAAGGGCGACTTAGTTATTTAGCGCTAGAATTGCGGCCCTTTTGTGCCGTTTAGAGACGACGTCCTCTCGTTTCTTAAGGAACTCCTCCCTTTATATATAGATTTCATTGTCACGTAAAGTAATGTTTGCTCAAAGTTCGTGCAAGCGACATAATAAGCCCAGTATGCGTCATTGATTATACTCCTGCTTCATGTTTGATAGCGCACTCATAACGACGCAGTTAATATAGAACGAAAGAGATTGAAGAGATCCTACATTGCTTATGCAATCTTGTTCTCAGAATAGTTGAAAACACACTGCGACGCTTTCTAATATTCGCGATTGCCGGCCTTAATCAGCTCGATGGATCATTTCAATTACAGAGAAATTTGATCTCTACTTAGGAAGTACTTTTCGCTGCGCTTTTATCAATCTTTCCGACTATCGTCTCGAATCAGATATACTTGGAATTTTCCAAAAGTAATCATTTTCCTATATAGTAATGTTTCTCGCAGGCAATGAAAATATCCAACTTATATGGAAAAATGTTTTCGAATTGCTTGTAAATTCGTGTAAATTCTATTCTCGGTGAGCGAATTGTTAATCCCGCATATTCGTGCGTACTTGAAATTTCTTCGACTGCCATGACCCGATATAGTTTTAACGCTGTGATAAAGTATAATAGAGAAATGTGTTTCCACGAGACAATGGCGAACGCTATTCTTTGTTGCTCGAGACCGAGATTCTTCCACTTCGTTATCCGAAGCGAGGAGAGACGAACTCGCTCGGGTATATCAGCTTTAAAAAGAACGTTCCGTGTTCGGTCGCGGCAGGCAGACGTGACAATTAGACGTTCCAATTTTCGTCCATATGCTAAGTCCCATCGCAGATTTCACTCGCCGGTGCGGAAAAACAAAGAGCACGGCAGAATTCAGGGAAGCCGAACCTTTCTGTCAATAGCCTGCCACATTCTCGAGCCGTCCCATTTACAGATCTGATTCGGCGACAGATACGATCGAGCACGTCGATCGATATGGTACGCTCCCATGGCGGATAAATATACACTTGAAGCACCTCTTCCGAGCTTTTATCTTCCGAGCTAAAATATTTCATGCGATGGAATATTTTAATGATCCTTTACGAGACGTAGCGCGTCTTTAATTATAGGCAATAATAAAGGTTCCATCGCGGTACTGATAACAACAGATAATTATAAGATAAGACGTTTCAACGAACGTGATGTTATTTTCATTGTCTTATCAAGCTCGCGAATGCGAGGAATTAGAAACTATTAACGAAATTATTGTGCAAACGTATTCGGAAACGTTTGTGTTTTCGATCGTCGATGATTCGCGTATCATTCACCGTCAATGTGTGATGTGTGGTGTGTGTGTGTGTGTGTGTGTGTGTGCGCGCGCGTATACGTATATGTGTATGTGTGTGCCTATGCGCGATCTTATTCATATCCTAAAATTTCTCCGCACCGTATGCCTCGCTCCCTCGTAACTCTCGGCTCTCCCGGTGTGTTTGTTTGACGAATGCTCGTTTGCGTATTCAACATTCAGAGTCAACAATTGCGTGTGCGCCGCTTTAAATACACGATTCCGGCTCGCCCGGGTTATGCACGCGTGCGATTCGTAAGCGGCTTATCTGCATCGTCGCTAGAGAGGAAAAAGACAAAAAAGGAAAGAAAAATCCGCACGCCGTGAGTATCGCGATCTATGCGCGTTTCTGCATCCGCATTTACATGTTTCCACCATTGCCGCCTCTCTCCTTCATTCCGCTTTGTTTCACGCACGTGTGCGCATTTTGTCACGCATCGGGAATTGAATATCGAAAGATGTTTCCCCATTGTCGCGCCCCGTCGCGCGTTTTCACGCGTGGAAAGTAAATAGGAACATTTATAATGCAAATCAGGCCCGTACTTACTTTTAGCCGTTACCTTATTCTTCTTTCTTATCTTAAAAATGGGACGCCCCAAATGAGACACACAGATATAGGAAATTGCGATCTAAAAAAAATAGAACGCGGTTAATCCTCGCTAAAACTCGACGTCAATCTTTGCAAAGAATCGGTATATAGCTTACAATTACAATACGAACGAGTTATTTTAAAAAGAGGATAAAGGCGAGGGAGGTAAATCGATAATTGGTCTTCTACAAAGGATAAGGCTCCCACGCCTCTCAGCGTTTCTTCCTTTTAATAAAGTAATAGACTTATACGATTTTGTAATTTATTTCTCGAGAATATATATGTGGTAATAAAAGATCTTGATTATAAATCTTGCTGATAAGATTCGTCAGCAAGTTTGAGAGCTAAAAAAAATATTTATCCCAGAATATGTTTATGTCAAAGAGAATGTGAATGTGAACATGTCAACTGTATTAAATTAAGTAATCAATAAATTTTTAAACAAAGGTGATTAAAAATAGAACACAATTGTTAATAAATTATTGATGAACGTTTAAAAATTCTTATATATTATCTAAACACTCTATTTTATCTATTTTAATAGATAGTTTAGAATTTAAATATAATTTGCAAATTAAGAAAATATTAAAAATAGAAGAAATTGTAGGTTATGTTATAAAAATTATTTTATGTTTAGATTTTGAAAATGTGCGTGTGTTTAAGTTGTTATATATTTTGGCGTTTATATGACGTTATATATTTTGGGTTATATATTTATCTTCCTATTACACGTATAAATAAATTTTGTAACAACCCTTTTCTAGGTGTGTTTTTTCGCAGACGAGAAACATTCACAGTCACGACTTGCGGTGATCGATAGTAGGCACGACAATGATTCCACGAATTCTTCATTAAGAAGATCACCTTATCGGCATTTCATTATCAGCAAACTTGCAATCGAGATTTGTATTTTTCTTGCGCATTACAAATACTTTTATTAATCTACACGATAGTGAAAGTAATCTTACTTGCGTGCGACACAGCTGTTTCACTAGTTTGATCGAGATTATGCAACACAGTCTTGCAAATGTTTAATGACATTATACACCGCGCAATGGCGTACAAATACAGCATGATATACAAATTTTGCATTTTGAATAAATTATTCAAACTAGGTATAAATTTTTGATTTATGCGTAATTTATACTCATAAGCAATAAATTTATGGAATTTCTGAAAAAATGTTCAAACTCTTTAACAGAAGTACGTTATCATATGTTCATAATATAGTAATTCACATTAACATCACACAACATTGGTAATTATGGTAATTCAATGGTTACCTAAGAATGATAAAACATTTTTTTACAGGACGAGATGCGATTTAAGCACGGTAATTACAAAAATGTGAGAGAAAAAAATTTGAATAATTTACTTAATAAAAAAAAAATATCGTTTTCAAATTCGATTTTTACCGTGAAACGCAACGAATGTAAAATGAACAATATAATCTTCTAAAATGATATAGATCTTTTATTAAAATACATGTGTAAAATTTTCTACTAGAACATATTCAATGTATTTTGATATAGAAACATACAATACATGTACATACATACTTTCACATACCATTGATAGTACTCACTTAAAGTCACATTAGAAGTGGTAACATTTTTCACGACTCTCAAGTCGAATACATAATGCTTAGTCTAAACTTTATTGCCACTTATAAACGGCTGCTTTTTTATTGTACAAATAAAAATGAGGCAATTCCAAGTATATCACAAATTTTGTTGTATAACTTATCCCGCGAGGCATTATAAAGAAAATGGCACATAATTTTAAATAAGCTTGTTCTGCATAGTGATAATATGTCAAAGAAATCATACATATGGAAGAATTTACTAATTCTACAGGCAAGATAGATTTTACATCAAATATCACGCCTGCTTCGTATAAGAAAGCCGTAACATAATATAATAATAATATAATCTTGAGATTATATTATTTTATAATGTCTAAATATTTGGATAGTACGAGTTAATCCTATAATAATAATCAATATTAACAATTAACGTCAAGGCATGTCACCAATACTCTGCGATGCAAGAGTAATATATTATACATTGCATATTTGCAATAAGATATTGCACTTAACACATATATCTCGTAACACTTACACACTTAAATATTGACGTAATTCGTTGTCTAGTGCGTATCTTAACAATATCTAAAAGTCTAAATTTAATAGAGATACAATTCACAATTGTTTGCGAAAAAACAAATTCGAGTTTCTCGCAATGTCGACGCTTGTCACTCTAAAGCTTTTTGTACCTTTTCTTTCATCTTCCCATTCGCTTACATTCAATCACGACGGTAACTGTATATTTATAGAGTATAAAATAGCTTACAATTTTCTATAGATTAACATATAACTCAGCAAACAACAAGTTATAGTTATAATTGTTGTAATTTCCCACTCAATAATGTAATTGTTATATGTTAACACACATATTATATAATTATATTGTTGAGTAAAAAATTACAATAAGTTATATTTATTACTAATAGTTATATAACTGTAACTTGGTGTTTGCTTGGGAATTATCTACAGTTCATTATGATGAAGGCAATTTCGTTTTCAGCATTGCAATGAATCGGAAAATAACCGAATTAAAAAAAATCGATTTGCAATTTATTTTACAATTCAAGTAGATAATAATTATATCGTATTGTATTTTAATTATATGTATGCAGAAATATCTGTTATATATAATTATCATCATATCTTGTTTGTTTTTTAACATCTGTTTTCTGTAATTACTTACTTTTTGCAAAATATATATTGAGATACGTCAGTACGTAAAAAATTGCATCGAATTACCTACGATCATGTTTATATAGGCACACGTGAAACATTCTGCATTCTTTTTACATTTCGTTGAGACATATCTTGGGATAATAGACTCAATTATTTATAATAGGACTGAGACATGATAAAAATTGCCATTTAGTAATTTAAGTGTCAAAATTGTCCATTTCCTACACTGTTTATTCTAGGTCTCTCTGTGGAGACATTCAGTAAAGCTTCGCATACAAACGGCGATCGGATCTGACGTTAGATTCTTCATTGCTGCCCGTTTTATCCATGTACAATACTTCCGATTTCTTCTCAGACGGTTCATCGACTGTCTTTTCTGGCGCGGCAGTCTATAATATTGCGCATATGTCGATTACGATAGGAATATTTTCTGAATAATATTATTTTCTTATTTATGCGAAGAGAAATAAAAAAATTTCATGAATCATATAATCATACCCTTAAAGACGTACGTCGTTTCTTCTTGAGATACAGGAACGCTATGATGCCAATTAAACATATTCCGACAACTATCATTGCTATGCCAGTACTTAACATCACTATTGGAAGTGCCAGTAATTTCTTTAAATTAGATGCCATCTCCTCGTTAACTTGTACTTTTAGGTCGAACCAAAACATCGGCATGTAAATCTTGGGCACGTCTCTGTAGAGCCTAAACAGACGTATCAATTTTTACTTTGACTAAATATTTTGCCTAAGATTTTTTTTTCTTCGAGATATATGGTTTGGTTTTGTGCTTTTTATCATTTAGTATATACTTACGACACGTGTTTCGATGGGTGTAGAAGAAGATTAATTTGCAATCTGGCTGCTACTTCTAAAGGAATTCCTGTCGTCTGAAATATCAAGCATGTATGTTTTCTTTCATATTTGTTAAATATCTAAGTGCTATCGTATAACGTGAAGCTTCGCATACAATACAGCACCATTGCTTTCTCAATAGCGCGTATTATCACGTTACATCCTCTGTGCCTGATAAACTGGATGACAAGCGATAAATTAGTATCTCGTGGTAGTAGCGGAGTTGACTGACCGTTGTTATGTCTATCGCGACGGATTTATCGTTCACGCCCTAAAAACGATTATTTAAATCGCCACTCACGGGTTCAAGGGTGATGGAGAAGCTATGGTCCTTGTCGTTGGGTGACATCCCGTCAACTTGGTCGAGAAGCACAGGATCAGACTTATAAAAGTGAGGTAGACTGATGAATACCGGCGCGCCGTAACGGCACGACGTTGTGTTTACTAAACCCAACGGCGTGCACTCGCCGTTGCAGTAACAATGACCCATATTAATGATATCCGGATTATCGTCGGGATAATCGTCCGAACTCTTCTCGGATGAGCGCTCGTCCGAGGCACTTTCGGTGGTCGTGGTGAATCCCATCTCGGCCGAATGCTCGGCCGCGAAGAAATCCTCGGTTGTTGTGGTTGGCTCGAAAAATTTCACTTGCTCATGTGGAAAACGTCGTCTCGTGTCGTTTCCGAGGGTCTTCTTGTCGAGAGTATATCGATAAGCCTCAATGCCCAAATAAGAAACCGTTCCCTCGTATTCGTAGATTATCGGACTAGAATAATGTAATATAATGTGAGATGATAAGACCGAGAGTTTTATGTGTGATGTACGAGAAAATGCCAAAGCGGCGCCAAAGATTGATTATTCCTGATTAACGCGACGATATAAAGATAATTAAACGTATTTATTACGTATTTTATTACGTTGATCTCGCGAAATTGCGATCATTAGATAGGGAAAGATATTATAATTGGATTATAACATTATTTACATAATGATTTATTTATATAATGATGAAATTAAGAGCTCATCTTAATATTTAAATTTGTAGTAAATTTGTAGTAAAATAAAATCTTGATTTTTATGAAGAATCGTTTATTAGCAGCGTATGAATGAAAATTCATAATTTATTCTATTTTATGAAATTGATAATTTTTTTACTAACCGGCATATGTCTACACTGAATATACTAATATCATCCTTTGTTCTGTTAGGTGGCCAAAATTCACCTGCACTGCCTTCGATATCATTACAAGGACTTTTGAAATATCTCGTTCTGTCTTTATAATTCCACTTTCTTAGGATTCCCAATTGGCTGATGTCCTCTTCGCCTGTTTCCATATTTAAATGTCCATCCATTTCAATGGAGCCATTTTTCTGCATAATTAAAAAAGCACTAACTGAAGTGTTTTTTGTAACTATAAAGTGTTTTTTGTAATTGAATTACACTCGTTGTATTTAAATTGATATAGATATACATATATTTGACGAAAGTTTGATAAAAGCGAGACAAATGATTTTAATGCAATTTAGTGTAGCAAAAACAGACTTATTATGTTTATTTATCTTTTAGTAATCTTTTAGTAATTCGATCGAAATTTATAAATGCACTTAACTTATTCTATCAGAATTTATTCGTCCGCATTATCATGGATTGGTATATTCTTGTTAACTACATTGTGCTTTTGTCTGAGTTTTATAATATTTTTATCACTGATAAAACACCGATAAAATAGCGATTTAATTTATTTTCGTGAGTGACGCATGTTATCATTATCTCTACGAAAACCAGTAGTGTTTCAACAATATAATCATCACTCTCTTGAAGTGCTTAGAGATACATTTTTACGTGTCAATCAACTACTACTAATTTTTGTAAGAATAATAGCACCGATGTGATACGTAAATAGAATATATCTTGGAACGTTTTATTCGTTACATGGTATGACCTATATATGATCTCTTCCATTCATTACCAATTTAAACCTAGTTACAAGTACTCATCGACTATAACGCCATTGCCTAGTACCATGCAACTCAAATGCTCCATGCACTATTTGCTTGATATTAATAGCTTTTGCTCGTAGTGATCCCCAATGCCACTAAAATATTACCTTTGACATCAGTGCCTCAAACTGTTCATGAAATTGATGCGAGCAGTTTACTATAAAATGAATAAAAAAAAATCCAAGATTTTTTTATATTTCGAGAGACAGAGGACGTAAAAAAAAAAAGAAAAATATTTAAAATAAATGAAAAATTAAAACGAGTTATAATTTCCTCGAGAAACGAAATGAATGATGATAAAAGCGCGTCCTTGAAGTACATTTAATATATCACATGCATTAAAATGGTTCTTTGTTCGCGCTGATGACTAAGAATGAATCTTTAAGAGAAAAGAAGAGATAAGCCGTCTTATTAGCAGACATACCATATAGAGCCAGCCGAAACGATCATAAGTCGGAACATCGTCCACGGGCATCATTTTGCTCATGGTGAGTAGATTGTCGGAGTAACCTGCAAATAGCATTTCGTTCACCGTTTTACTGTTGTGGACTCGCCGACCAGTAGTAGTCAAGAGTATAGATAATGAGTTCTGCCATTCGGCTTCCCAGTATCGAATTTTGTGCACTGCAGACTGAAAAAAGATGATATATAGCATCGAATATTCTTATTTTTTCTTAATCATTTGCGCTTTTATTTTTAAATCAAGCTAAAGTTTAAACAAGATGGAAATCCGAATCCATTCGATTGTTTTGCCTTTATACGATTGTTTTATCGATTATTTTATTTTTCTAACATTGCAATTGACATTGAGAATTCAATTTATTGTATTAAGTATGCAACAAAAGCTGCAATAAATTGCAACTTACCGCAACGACGGGGTCCAAATTGGTGACGATGTCGCTAAGACTTCCATTGGTGTGCTCCGCGTCGAAGTACCAATACCGTCGTTGGAAATAGCTAACAGTTTTGTTCTCATGATGAAATTTAATGTTGTCCTTTTGTCTTACTTCCCTGCAATTCATAAGTGCACTAACAATTTCTATCTTTTTGTTTCTTTATTTGCATTTGCTCTTATATGATAAAAAGATCTTGTAAATATAGTAAATAGTAAAAAGTAAATAGTGAAAAGATCTTGTATAATAAATTTTTATTAATTGTCCAGCATTATTCGTAAATTTATAAATTAGAAGTAAATATTATATAATAATGAAATACAAACTGAATTCAAACACTCATAGTAATCCCACTTGTATACAGGTTAATTTATATTAAATTTACGTTTAATTTATATTAAATTATGTTAAATTTACTAAATTTATGTTTAATTTATGTTTATTGGATTGAAATTAAATAATATAACATTTTCTGCATTAATTTAATCAATACATATTTTATCGATTGTTGTATATTCGCTGGAAAATGATATCTAACGATGATTTAGACACTGACCTACATATTTTACTTATTAGTATTAACGGAGCAATTGCTACGCAACCATACAGGACGTAATAATGATGATCATACCTAATATTCTCTTATTGTCAAAGAAGCAAATATAATCTTTATATAACTGACACAAGATTAGAGACGGAGTTAGATTTGCGGACGAATTTTAAAGAGGACTTTGTTCTATTTTAGACAGGTCTGAAATAAAAATCAGCATGGCTGTTTATACGAGTTGACTTACTCCGAAAAGATCGCACATAATTTATATCTCGTTGATTATAATTTTATTTATATTGATGGCCGAAAATGATAAAGAAGAGGGATTGATCTGTTTTTATATATAGATTTTGAATCACAATCCTTAATCGTACACTAATTTGTAAGAAATATTGAAGCAATTAATAATAAAAATTGTTTTAAAATCCCGCTGGAAATTGCTTATTAATAATATCAAAGTCATAAACAAAGTCATAACAGACTTTTTTAATCAACTCAAATTGCTCAGATGTGTGAGAAGTTGTCAATCCAGTTAATAGCAATTTTTTACGAAGTGAGTACGTCAAACTGTTTCATTATAAATCGCTTCGATATTTATCTATATAAATTAATGTATCAATGACGATTATCACAGACGTTCAAGCTCACTCTTTTAAAGTTTCAAGTTTACACAGCTGAAGTTTGATTTAATTTGCTAATTTTTTTCTTATTACGCTTATTTTTCTTATTAAATCATCTTATTCTATCATCAAGACTAAACTGTTTATGCTGAGGAAATTGTTCATTGAGATTATCGTGAATACCCACTATTTATCATCAATATTTTGTTTTTCGTGTGCGAATGTTCTTGCGAAATGTCGAATGTAGAAAGTGCCGAATGTTTCTTGAATTTTTGATTAATGTTTTGCACGATTATTTTGAAATACATTAAGTAATCCAGTTAAAATAATCCAGTCAAATTAAGGACACGAGCGAGCGAAAAAGTGCATCTGTGGCACTTACCGAAGAATCGCAAGTACATGTTATTACGGTCAAGAAGAAAGTAATTAATTAGTCAATTACCTCGCACAAGCTCGCCTACGCATCGCGTGCGTGATTGGACCGGCATGTTTTATTGTTCATTAAGATGTCAATACAACGAGGTTAATTATTTCTTCATCATTGAGTTCATTGTCATCGTTGAGTTCGTTATCGCGTTGTAATTTTATAGTGAGTCTGATTAAAATAATTTTATCGTCATTGTACTTCGCATATGAAATTTCAGTGAAATTTTGCTCTTACCAAGATGTTTTTTAATTGACGGTATAACTGACGAGTCATTTATAATAAGGAAAACGTGTTTTTAACAGTTTTTTTTACTGATTATGCATTTTATCACATAAACGTATTTTAAACTGACTGTCGATGATCCCAACTTGATTACGTAATGTTAAAGTTGATAATATTATGACATACTTAGCGTGATTTTTTTTAATGTTTAGAATTTATATAACAAACAATAAACTTTTTATCAAATATTATATAACAAACAATAAACTTCTTATCTTAAAAACCAAAACAATTTTGTTTGTTTAATTTTCTTTGTTTGTATTTTTTTGTTTTTAAGTTAAAAGATGTAACATATGAAATGATAAATAGGATGTTTAATTCGCAATGCTGTGTTAAGCAGAATCGATTCGATTGAAATTCATTATACTCTAACTGCGGTCGACTACTGCACGATTATAATTTCATCTTATCTGAAGTGGCATGTGCGTTGATTGCATGACCTCGAAATTTTATATTTCCGCGGTCATTGACGCGATACTGATTACTTAAATAATATTTATACACGTCAAAAAATTGTGGCTGTATTGTGAAATGAAAACGAATTAACGCAGCCAAATGAAAGTTTGCAACGAGTCTTGCACAAGAAATTTATGATCTTGTGAATATATAAGGACATGCGTTTTCAATCCGTTTACTTTTTGAATGCCAATTTTATGAATTATGAATTATGATTATTCATTAACAAAATGCATTTGGGTCACACGCTTACCTGAAGCTGTATGGTCCAAGCTGTGTGAAATGCGGTTTCCTTACATACAATTCATGCGGATTGGTCCAGTTGAAAAGATATATTTTCAAAATCATCGGCGGGAGTTTACTAGTATCCTTCCATATTTCAAAGCTCTTGGAAGTTGGCGAGAGAGCTAATTCCTACGGATAAAAAGAAAGAAGATTTACTGCATTCGGTAGCCAGAAACAATGGCCGATGAGAGCAATTGTCGCTTTATAGTCTGATGATGTTTCACTGATTGTACCCAAGTGCAATGATGACAATGCAAATGATTTCCTTATAAAGTGGCACTTAAGTAGCTATTCAAATCGCGTTCTGCGCTGATGAATACACGTAACAGTTGTTAGTAACTACTTCACACGACCACAACAATAGTAAAAGAAAAAAAAAAAAAAAAACACAATTCAACGTGTCTTGATAAAAAAAAGTACTAAAAATGTTAAATTATTTATATATTATAATGTGTATAATGTGTAGTTATGTACAACTTAATTTAAGATATCTCACTTATGATGTGACGTAGTGAGGAAAACTTATCACTACAATATCAATTTATGATTCACCAACGATCGGAAAAAAAAGAAACAAAATTATAATATAACATTTGAGAAATCATTAATTAATACTTAATAAACCAGTCGTAATCGAAATGATAACAATCAGATTTGCTGGCCGACGATATTGGATAAGAATCTATTCGCACCTGTTTACTAATCTTTGTGTCAGTTGCGGGAGTGCCTTAGTAAGAAGGACAAAGACGGCAAGATGCGGCACGATAAGTGTCTCTACTTTTATCAACACCAAGATTCGCGCGCGACGATGTTGCCGGTGGCGTGAAATGGAACCATTTGCGACGAATCGCGATACAGAGAAACATCAATTAATGGGACAATCGGCCACTTTTCCAATCGGGCCGGGACTAGCGCCGAGACAAGTGTTCAGTCTCTAAATGTATAGTATGTGGACCAGTTCAACGAGTGATCTTATTTATCGCAAACGACCTTTGCATGTAGTATGATACTTGACACGTTAATGAATATAGCTTATTTTCCGCAATAGTGGATGACGCGATCTCATTTATTTCATTCTGGAGAAAATTCGATATCGTGTGATTAATTATCGTTTGAAAAGTCAACATTCCAGGGTCGACATTGTTTTTTGTTGAAAATAAATCTCGAATTAAAAATAATTCACAATTAATTATCATGGAAAACAAGAGAAGAGCGAGATTATTTACTCATGAAGTACATAATAAAAGAGAACTGCTTTATTGATGAGGGTGTCTTGTTTCTTATAGTTAACAAGCATTTTTTATAATCTTATGTATTTTTATAAGCAATTAATTCATAGTTTTTTGTCACTTTGTTTTGGAGTGATAAATAATAGAATCAGAAATAAGAAGCATCAGAGACTTAAAAATTCACATTTTTTTATTAATCTCTAAGTGTTATTGATCTGACAAATTCTATATGATATATATATATATATATATATATATATGTATATATATATATATATGTATATATATATATATTATATATATTATATATATTATATTATATATATTATATATATATATATATATTATATTATATATATTATATATATTATTTTTTTATAATTACGTATATATTATTTTACGTATATATTATTTATATACGTATATATATACGTATATATATTAT